AAAGACAACTACTCATGCATGCTACCATTAAGAGCCAAAAATGCACAAAAAAAAAAAAAAAAAAAAAAGAGAGAGAGAGAGACAAAGGGAGAGGGGTGTCCCTACCATATGCAAGACCTCAAAACCCCTTCTTCACCATTGAAAACCCACTGGATTTCAGTGGTAAGAAGGCCAATACACAAGAGGTTCCAAAACTTAACAAAGAGAGCACAAAAAGGGCCAAACAAGGCCTAAGAGGGGGAGATCAACCCCAAACAATAAAATGACCTTAATAAAGTATCTCAAGAATGCAAATACAAGACTTTTTTCAGTTATACACGAAGATCAAATCAGTATGCAAAGCATGTCAAAAGCTAGTGCAAGATTGGGGAATCTAAAGCAAAAGTGTTACCCTTGAAGAACACCTCAAGAACAGCAAGTCCAGCCACCTTCTTCTGATCAAAACCAGCTCAAAACCTCAAGAATAAACCCTCAACACCTCCTAAAGTTGAAGTATGGTGTAATGGTGTGTGTTTTAGTGCAAAAGTAAGAACAAATCACCCTTTTAGGCCCTCAAACACACGCAAATGAAGAGAGATGGTGAGATATAAAGAGAGAAAATGTATGTATCAGAATATATATGTTCTAGGTCTAATTTTGCTGAACCAAAACCAAGGAGAGGGTTTGTCTCCTTATATAGACCCTCAAAGGTGCTAAGCTTCCAAGAGAAGCTAAATAAAAGGATTAAGGCTTCTTCAAGAAGCCAAGGCAAAGGGGCCAAGGCTTCTTGAGGAAGCTGAGGCAGGGTTCAAGCTTCTTGAGGAAGCTAAGACAAAGGTCCAAGCTTTCTCAAGAAGCTAGACCAAAAGGGTGCAAAAGGGGCAAAACAGTCACAAATGTGCACAGGGGCAGGGTTTGTGCATTCCAGCTGGCACAGCTGGCATGCACCATGCCTGAAAAAGGCAAAAAGGTGTTACCGGCCAGAAAAGGAGGCCATCGGCCAAACAGGTGGTCGGCCGGCCACACAAAATGCCGACCGACCAATGGACTATTTCACCAATGGCCGGTAGCCTCAAAACACAACCGGTGGCCTCAAGCCATGGCCGGTGGGTATCAGGGGTAGCTAGCAAGCTACTCTCTACCCTTAGGTGCAAAAACAAACAAGTCCTTGGTGTAAAACCAAGCACAGAACAAGCAAGTCGAGAGATCCTGAGGCAAGGCGTGTAACCAAGACCTCCGGGAACTCAAAACAAACACGAACATGGATGATCACCGAGTGTTCAAGCGGTGACGTCCAAGTCTTGAGGACGGTCAAAAATGGGGTGTCTACACCGGGCAACAATAAAATGTACCGGGATTTGAAACAGACCTATTGGTGGCCTAAAATGAAGAAAGAGATTGCAGCATATGTGTCCAAGTGCCTTCAGTGTCAGCAAGTTAAGGCTGAACATCAGAAACCAGGCGGTCTACTTCAACCTCTCCCTATTCCTGAATGGAAGTGGGAACATGTGATTATGGATTTCGTTGTTGGCCTACCTCGAACTTCTTGAGGTATGGATTCTGTTTGGGTTGTGGTTGATAGACTGACTAAATCTGCACATTTTCTGCCTATCAAAACTACATTTACTGCTTACAGATTGGCTACCATTTATGTTGATGAGATTGTCCGTTTACACGGAGTTCTAGTGTCCATTGTATCGGATAGAGATCAGAAATTTGTATCTAGATTGCGAAAGAGTTTGCAGGAAGCTATGGGAACAGAATTAAGATTTAGTACTGCATTTCGCCCACAGACAAACGGGCAATCAGAACGAACGATACAAACTTTGGAAGATATGCTTCACATGTGTGCTTTGGATTTTCAGGGGAGTTGGGAAGATTATTTACCACTTGCAGAATTTGCTTATAATAACAGCTTCCACTCCAGCATCGGTATGGCACCATACGAGGCTTTGTATGGTAGAAGGTGTAGATCACCTATTTGTTGGACAGAGGTCGGAGACAGAGCTTTGCTTGGGCCTGAAATTGTACAAGACACCTCTGAAAAGATCAAAACTATTCGGCAAAGGCTCAAAACAGCTCAAGACCGACAGAAGAATTATGCAGACGTTCGGAGAAGACCTCTTGAGTATGAGGTCGGCGACCATGTGTTCATCCGAGTTTCTCCGATGAAAGGCCAAGTCAGGTTTGGGAAAAAGGGCAAGTTGACGCCCCGTTATATTGGGCCGTTTCAAATTTTGGAGAAACTTGGTCCAGTGGCTTATAGAGTTGCCTTGCCACCGGGATTCGAGCAAATACACAACGTATTCCACGTATCAATGTTGAGGGGTTATCTTCAAGATCCGTTTCATGTGATTGATTATCACCGGATAGCTAATTTTTAGAGCCTACGGTGAAATTTAATTGAAAATTGATTCGGATCAAATTAATCAGATTGAATTTGATGAATGAGTGCCCAATTATTTTATATTAAAATAATATGTTAATGGGGCTTGTTGTATGTTAGCACTACACTCTCCTTTAACTCTATTGAACTCAAAATCTGAGTTATACAATTGAGATTGAGAGAGAGACGGCTGTTAGAGAGAGATGAGAGAATTGTGCATTTGTGGTTCAAGACTTGGACCTTTTGGAGATTAAGCTCAAGTATTGCTAAATTGGGGAGATTAAAGCTCCTTGTTGAGTGATTCATGCATTTCTAGTCATCATCTTGTGAATTCAAGTTTAATAGATGGTCAAGAGCATGAATTAGTTTGAATGTAATGGAATTGAGTTGTATATGTTGGATTTCAAGTTAATAGGAGCATGCGTGTAAAGAATTGCTATAGATTTCCACGTTTGAGCTTAATTTGTGTAATCTATGTTGAAGTTGAATGAAATCCATGTGTATGACCATTTCTTCACCAACTAAGTTGTGAATAATGTGATTCTTACATTCAAGAGTAGATCATGAAAGAGTAAGCTTTGCATGTTGGAATTTGATATGTTGGTGATGAATTTGGATTAATTTGAGACATGCATGTAAATGATATAAGAAATTGAGCTTCCTAATGTTGTAATCTTGTATTGGTATCATGTTAATATGTGTATATTTGAGAATTGAGCCATAACATGCATGATTTATTGGCTGGAAAATCGAATTGGAGCTCAAGAACTTAATCTGGAAAACCTACATTTTTTATGTCCACTCGAGCGGGGTTACCGCCGCTCGAGCGGGAAAATCGTGCTCCCAGCACTTTTTACAGAGTTGGTTGTCCACTCAAGCAGGATATTTCACGCTCAAGCGGGGAGCATTTGTAGACAGGCCTTCCGCTCGAGCGCCTTAACTCACGCTCGAGCGTAATTTTGAGGTAACCAGTACTTTTGCAGGCCTCTTGGGTCTGCTCAAGCGAGGAAATCCACGCTCGAGCGGGGACCCTGTTTTCTGAAATTCTGAAAATGCCTTCTGTGTTCTGTTTCTCCGTTCTCTTTCACTTGTAAGCACTCTTAGGCATATGTTAAGCACTGTAAATGAGCTAATGAGATAAGAATAAAGCCTAAAGAGGAATATGTGAATTAAGGAACGGATTGAATTGTCAGTGACCCTTTTGTGTTCATGAAATGTGTGGGGTCAAGCTCCAGGGCAAATCCACAAGCCGATCACTGTGAGTAATATCGATATTTGAAAGCTTGTCAATGTCCAATTGTGTATTCCCTTATAAGCTTTATGAATTGCTAATTGGGATTGTGGGGCAAAAGTCTGACATGAATGAATGATTGGACCAAAGGTCGTTTTGATAATAATAATGGACCGAAGGTCGTTTTGATAATAATGAATGGACCAAGGTCGTTTTTGATAGAAATAAATGGACAAAGGGTCGTTTTTGATAGAAATGAATGGACCGAAGGTCGCTTTGATAGAAATGAATGGATCAAAGGTCGTTTTGACATATATGAATGGACCGAAGGTCGTTTCGACATGAATGAGTGGGCCGAAGGCCGTTTTGACATGAACAAGTGGGACGAAGGCCGTTTGACATAAATGAATGGCCGAAGGCCATTTTGACATAATTGAATGGGCCGAAGGCCGTTTCGACCAAGTGATGGGCGATGGCGCAATTTAGCCATGAATGGAAACCTGAATGGGCCAAAGGCCAGAATGTTCGGAACTACAGTTACTTGATTGAATTTCGTGTAGTTATATATATCTGTTAAATAAAAGTATGAATTGGGCCCAAGGCCGTTTGGAGCATGTTGTTCTACATATTGTTATGTAACCTCTGTATTTGATATTATTCACTCGGCTATCGCTTACGCTCATTCATGTGTTGTAGGTGAGCCAAGAGAAGTCCAAACCCAGCCCCAGTGAAGTCTGCCAGGAACAACATGAGTTTTGGAGAGTCAGCCTTATGTCTCACGCACGAGACCCATCCTTGCCAATTTGTTATGTATTCACCTTTTGTCTTGTTGGCAAGGACTTCATGTAGATTTGTATATATTCTGTTATGGGTTGACTCAGTTTGAATGATCCTGTCTGTAAAGAATTCTATGGTGTTGTACTTTTGACGTAGGTTATTAAGGTATATGTAAGTGGTTTGTTTTGATGTGCATATAAGCACGGCTCTGTAGACAAAGTTTTAAATTTGTGCTTTCGTTTGGCCCCTTTACTCTGATGAGTTATGTCTGTTAAGGTTTGAGGCCGTAGGTAATCTCAGGATTACTGGACGGTTATGTCCTTAACCCATGGGGGCAGGTTCGGGTCATGACAGAATTTTTCCCAAAAACAAACCAAACAAGCCCTAAGTTTTGGTGACAATATAAAATTAGTCGTGCTTATATTACTTTTTCCGACCAAAACATTTATTCGTCGCCAAATTAAAACTTTTGGCAACAAAGATTTTAGTCGCCGTTGATTTAGATTTGGCTACAAAACTTAATAGTCATCATAGATGTTTATTTTCCGAAAAAACTAAATTTTGTCGCTGAAGGTAAAAAAAATAGAAAAAAAGAAGAAGAGGGATTTCATTTATTGGCTTCCGCCCCTTTTTCTGTTAGACAACAAGGAAGTTCAAATCTCTCACACAGACTGTCCTTTATCGCAAAACCTCATAGAAAAGCACCCGTCCACCGCCCATCGTACAGAGCACATCGCCACAACCACTCTAGCAAATCACCACCGCCACAGTCACAGATCACAGGTTCTCTTTCTTTCTCTCTCTCTCGCGTGCACGCGCCCATGCGAGCTCACTCTTTCGCTCTCAGTCTATTTGTGTGTGTGTGTCTCTCTTGCTCGAGCTCTCTCACTCTGAGTCTCTGTCTCTATCTCTCTCTCTCTCTCCCTTCCTCTCTTTCCTCCTTTCTAATTGTCGCTTTAGGGTTTTATATACTTGATTCAGTTTAATTTCATGTTGATTTATGAAATTGGTTTGGTTGTTGTAGTTTGATTTCGAAACTTCTAGGGTTTGATTTCTACCCACAAATCCCAAATTCAAGCTCAAAACAGGCCATCCAAATTTTGTGTTGATTTTGTGCTGATTTCTCAAAAACTTTTGGTTTATGAGTACATGCAGATGGGTTGCTTGTAGGATCATCTTTTTGGTAATACTTGAATATGAAATGCAATCATTAAATTTAATGTATATTATTTCTTTTACTTAAATCAATTTGTCCTTGTTTATTTGAACATCCTCATCAAATTTATTGAAATATTGGTTGTTAGCACAAGAATTGAATTGTATGACTTTTTGTTTCAAATTTTGTTTATCTAAATATGGTCTCTTCTTTCTTCAGCGAATTACAGGCATTTGGTCTAGGGGGCAATAGTTTAAGGAAATTAAAATAGGACTGAAATTGCAAGCATTTGTTGAGAGAGATGATAGTTTGTGAGATTTTAGATGCTTGCAAGCATGTATATACTTCTTCCTAACCCCGTGAAGAAAATTTTTGTAGATTGGCCACTAGGGAAAGGTGTGAGGTTCATCATGTATTACCTATTTAAGTGTGATGGTGTCCTTTATATTACCTATTTAACTGTGATTGTTTTTGTTTGGTGGTTCTTACTGCTTGACCCTTCACCAGTGTACTTCATTGGCTGCCAATTACTTAAGAGGCTCAGGATTTGTTTAACTTGTGGAGGAAAAAAGTTTTTGCCTCTACACCTATATGAATGTACCTTTTAGACTAAAATGATGTCTCCTTTTCCAGTAGAAATTTCACTAAGTTCTATTTTTTCTGCACTAAATATTCGAAGGATGTGTTTTACAGTATGGATCTTGGAATGTTGTACACCCTAGGGATTGCACAATGCACTTCATATTAGTTTACTTCATACATATGTTTTCTAGTTAGAATTTTTTCACTGCAACTACAAATGGATACTGATTTCACTTACAATGATTTAGTGAACTGTTAATTAGACGTTATGTCATGCATGTCAGAATCAATAGTTGTCAAGAGTTATTACCTTTCTCTAAATCTTAATAATGCCAAGTAGAGGTTATATTAACGTCATCTTCAAAGTAACTATTTGTAATAGTGTTTTTTTGCTACCTATACATTGACCAGAGTGATTTCTTCTTTTTGCCTCTAATTTTCTCATTAGGTATCATTGGCAACCAATTTTCTTCCACAAATATTCTCATTATGGGGTGAGAGCCCCAGAAAGAATAGGGGCTTGAGCTATACAAGTGACAATGTTGAGGTTGTTCTTGCTGTATCAGGTAAAGTGGCAGATATTACTCAAGGATTTAGATTTGTTCATTAGTGTTTAAGGGAATAAATGACACTTTATTGTGTTCGTAAAGTTATATAACAAAATTTAGCACCACATATTTGTGGCTTTTAGATTGATGTCCTTTTTGGTCAGCTCTCCTATTAGTCTACTTCTACAGAAAGTAAAGATTGCCCCTCTCACTAGGTTTGTTCGTCGTCCACCTTCCATTCTTATCCAGAAAGACAAAATGAGATGGAAAAAATCCTAACCCTAAACCACCCACTTCCCTCATCACCATCTACCACCTCCCTCTCTCCTCCTCCTCCTCACCTTCCTTATCACCACCTCCCTATATATTGTTGTTACTGATAAAAAGTAAGTTCAATCTTGCCTCTACACTTTTTCTTTTTAACAATAAAAAAATAAAGTATCAAACAATGGAAGACTTACAATACAAAGTATGAAAATAGTCCCCGTGTGTTAAGTGCTAATGAAATGTTTTTGTTGATCCTTCAAATATCTTGATGATGGGAATAAAATTAAAATTGTTGTTCTTCATGTGTTTATAGACTCGTAATAAATGTTTTTTTAATTTGAAAGATTTCACTGTTAACTATAAGAATAAAAGTCTTTCTATGCTATTTTGTTTTCATTTTTTGCCATTTTTCCATTATCCTTGGTCATGGGTCTCTCTAGTTTAATTACAAAGATGGAATGAAACAAAAAACAAAAGAAAAATAAATTTGGTGGTGCAAGAGTTGTTTTTAAAAATGATTGAGACCCAGGGAATTAGACTTAGTTGCTTTTTTTTTTTGGTTTTGCGAACAATTTAGGTAACCAGTTTTAATGGTTCAAATGCCCCTTTCCCATGGATTTAGCTTGGGCTCAGGTCTCATTGATGTTTGTAGTCTGAGCCACCCATTTCTTTTGTTAAATGTAAAGGAAATTAATTTTACTCATATTTCTATTAGGAAAATACTATTGTGCTTCCCCTCCACCCCCTTCCCTCAATGGCTACAGTTTGCCTAACATGTCTATCAATGTGTTACTGAACTTGTATTGAAGTTTGGATTGATGAATTCTTATTCATTTTTCAGGTTTTGGACTGTTAGCATTTCTATTAGGAAAATAGAAATTTTACTCGCATGTTTGGTTTACAATTTTATCTGCATATGATGGTCCTCAAATCTTGATAGCTTGCTTACTAGCTAATGGAAGAGTAGATGTATTACAGATTGTAGGTAAATTTTTAATGATGAGTTCTGAGTTGCATGATTGAACATTTTTGTGCTGAGTGTCTTAATTATTTTAACAAATTACCTAAGTGCTTCTTTGTAATCTTTGTCTTTTTTGCTATTCTCTTTGTAGAAAGATCTTGTTATATATGAAATGAACGTTCGTGCTTTTACGGCTAATGAATCTAGTGGGCAAAATCCAAGCATACGTGGTAGCTACCTTGGTGTTATTGAGATGGTAATTACTTATTTATTAAACTGAATACATTTTAAAAAATGCTACAAGCACCCATTCTTATAACAATTTCAAGTTATTATCTTGGCAAAGGTTCTAGCAATTCGTTCCTTTTAACATTGGTAACTGATTATTAAATGACTAATAGATGCTTAAATTAATATGGTGTAATTCTCTTCTTGGATGATTTGCTTGTATAAACAAGTAGTCTTGTTCCTGAAACTGAATCCACATTTAGCCAATTTTGTCCAATTCTAGATTAGTGCTTGGGAAAACATAAGGATCTATTCTTTCAGAGGTTGGCTGAATGGGCACCAAAATCATTTTAGGATAGGATCACTATAAGAGTTTCTAGGACATGTTTGTGCTTACTTTCAGTTGAGCACTGTTATATTGGTGATAAAAAAAAATGTGAGAAAAAGGCGAACACAGGTTGTTTAGGGGCAAAAATTGGAAATAGCCCCCAAACAGCCCCGAGATCATCACTGTCACCTCGGAATAGATTAAACAAACTTGTGAGAGCAAGTGGCATGTCGATAGGATTCACGGTTAGAGATTTAGACAAAAAAAAAATGTGAGAGAAAAAGGCAAAAACAGGGCTATTTGGGGGGCGAACATCGGAAACAGCCCTCAAACAGCCCCGAGATCATAATGATCACCTTGGCCTAGATTAAAAAAACTTGTGAGAGCAAGCAGCACATTGAAAGGCACATGGTTACAGATTTAGACCCAAAAAAATGTGAGAGAAAAAGGCGAAAACGGGCCGTTTGGGGATGAAAATTGAGAGTAGCCCCCAAACTGCCCCGAGATCATAACGGTCACCTTAGCCTACATTAAACAAGCTTGTGAGAGCAAGCAGTGCATTGATAGGACACATGGTTAGAGATTTAGACCCCAAAAAAATGTGAGAAAAAGGCAAAAATAGAGCGTTTGGGGGCGAAAATTGGAAACAGCTCCCAAACCGCCCCGAGATCATAACGGTCACCTCGACCTCGATTAAACAAACTTGTGAGAGCAAGTGACACCTCGATAGGACACACAGTTAGAGATTTAGACCAAAAAATGTGAGAGAAAAAGGAAAAAACAAGTCGTATAGGGGCGAAAATTGGAAACAGCTCCTAAACAACCCTGAGGTCTTCACAGTCACATCAGCTTAGATTAAACAAACTGGTGAGAGCAACAAAACATCACCTTTTCCACATAGTTCCTGAAATAGTAACAAAAATAGACATTTTTGTAAAGAACAATAAAAAGAAGCCTTATTTGAGTAAAGACTACAAATGAAAAAGTCCAGGGATGAGGCCAATGCGGTTAGTATTAAAACTAGATGACAAAAAATATTGGAAATGATGATATTGATAGAATTGTAATGTTGATTGGATATATACATATGAATGTTGTTGTTTTATTTACAAAATGGTATTGATAGTTATTTAATTTGTTCATGTTACCTTTACTTTCCATTGACATTTTTCATTTTTTATCCAATTTTACAATCATTTGATGTGCAAATATTTTCATAAAAAAATTACCTGACAATATTTCTCTTTTTCTTTGGTACAAATGGATGAACTCATGCACGAAGATGAATTGTACAGGACTAGTTGGCACTTGTTACATTTTTTCAAGGATTATATATTTTTGGATAGATGTGTGTGAGTGTTGATTTTTTACCACACAACCAAATGGAGAACTCAGTTGGAAAGCATCGGCAGAATAGATTGAGCCAATCACTTGCCAACAAGAATGTGAGAATACCGCGGTGGTTCGTCCACCCGGGGGCACTTCGACGATCAAGTCAGTAAACAAATATCTCTCAAAGATAACAAATAGTGCTTAACTCACTAGCCAGAGCATAAAAAGTATACCTTAGACCCATGAGGGTGCCTTACTTTTATAATGATTAGTGTCCAATTTTCCCTAGAAGTCTTACTTCATGGGACTCAATCCTTCACAAGAATAACATTTATCACAACTCACACTATTTAGATTAAGATGAACTCTCTCAAGAGTCCTATCTCTATCCAAATAGGTAGCTTAATGTCATTTAGGACTCTATCCCTCTATCCAAATATCTCGGATTTTGGTATCCCCGCAGAATACCTCGACAGTGCCCTAAACATCTTGGCAAACATGATCTGCCCACATGGCACCTCGACTGACACCTCAGCGTCACTTTAGCCACGTGGCGTCATCCAAAAATATGTCCCCACAACTACCCCTAGGTTCTATTACCTTAGCAAACTGACATGATGAAACCTATACATGTACTCTTTTGACAGAGATCGTGACTTGTCGGCGCCAAGACATAAGGACTCAAACGTCCGCTCGTCAAGAATCAAGAACCATCATGTTCTATCTCACCCAGGTCCAACATCTCGACAGAGATCGTACTACTAGCAGAGATCATGACTTGCTAGTTAAAGAATATCAAGATCCTAGTATCAACTCATCAGAAACCAAGAATAAACAAGTTTTGCCCCTATCCAAATTCAATATCTTAACCGAGATCAACATCTCAACCGAGATTGTCATCTTAACCGAGATCATCATATCAACAGAGATCATCATCTCAATTGAGATCATCATGTCATCACCTTGTTGGTTCGTATCTGTCACATGTCACTCTATCAAAGCTGCCCAGCCGCCTAATAAGCACGCTGTCCAAGGTAGTTACATTTTTTTGCCTTTTCATTTTTTGACAAAACTTCCTTCACTCTCTCTCTAGAAGTCTCCATTTCCATTCCTTCAAAGCTTTTCCTGTTACAACTTTGGTCACCACTTCCGTCGGGCGCTTAGCAGTTCTGTTCCGATCAGAGCTTTGTCTGACTTTAGCGAATCCCATTCCGGCATTTACTTCCTCGGCTCCACTTTGTAAGACTTTGATTTCTTTTATTTTAACTCCAGTTCTCCACTGTTTTCAAATATATTCCTTCTGTGGATTGTTACACATTACACATGGTATCTGTATCTGCATTTACATTGCCATCTTGTATTCATATTTGAATCCCATTGTTCTACATTCATTCGCTTGCTTTGACTTATATTTTGTCCTTCATGTTCTTGAGCCCTTCTTCACATTTTTTGTATTTAACACATATCTTCTAGTTCACGGTCATCGTATTCTATCAATTCTGTTCGTACCCTAAATCTATCAATGCTCTATTTTTTTTCATATTCTTGAATCTTTACAATCTGTCACCTCTTTCCATTTCATCTTTCTCTGTGTCCCCAAACTCTTTCTCTCTCTATCTTTCTCTGCATCTCTGCAAACCATCATCGTTTGTTCTTGAAGCTTTCATTGCTATGAATACTCCATTCGTGCCTAAGGTTCAAACTCTACCAGCTAAACCAAACTAGTAGCCAAGCACTTTATTAGCTGCTCCACGCATCAACCCACCATCTCAATGGCAGTGCAAAGACCGACATAACGACAATCTTGCAACTAGAACCAGGAACAAGAAACACCGAGGTCCTAAGCTCCCAGCCTTAGACCTTGATAATCCTTCAATCGCCTTATCTGCGAGTAACAATCCCTATAGCCAATGACGGCATGTGTCGTCGAACTCTTGTCATAGAAGACCTTCTTGTTGACATCCTTGATGTCATAACTGTGCAATCCATTCCATCTCCTTATAGCCAATTAATCTGAGGATGAGGTCGAGAAAGCAAAAGATGTTGACGACGAGGAGGCCGAAGAAAATGAAGAGGCCGAGGTTAAGGTTGTTGAGAAAGAATCTGAAGTTGCTGCTGAGGCCAAGTCATCTACTCTAAATGATCAGATCCTGGACTTGATAGAGGAGGTTGGGGATAAGGTCTCCAAGAGTACCTCGCCAAAGAAGGCCGACACTTCTGAAATCGAGATCACTGCTGTTGCAAAAAGCCTGGACCAGACTCTTCTGGAAATCGATGTCGAAATCGTAGCTGAGAAGTCTGCCCAGTTGTCTGCCGAGGTCGAAACAATTACAACAGCTGAGGTTTAACAATCTGAGATCAATGTACAAGATCCTAGTACTTCAGGAATTTTTCTTTCCATTGTACTTTTTTCTTTGTAATTGTATTTTCTTCTGCTTTATTTTAAACAGTGCCTGTTTTGTCAGGCCGATGTGCTTGTTTATGTACTTAAATAAGTTGTCTCTTTTCAATGCAAGTCTTATTTTTTTTTCTAAGTGTTGAATGCTTCCTTCATGTATGCTCACTGCTTTGCTTTTATTCCTTGCATGTTTTTTCTATACTTAAAAATTTCTTGTCTTTTTTTCAAGTTTGGCAACTTGGTTCCTCACCTCGGACATAAGTATCTTGGATACATCCACGCATCAGAGTTGAGCAGACTAATTATCTCAGATAACAGCCTTTGTTATTTATCTTGGTCGAACAATACTTGTAGAGTTTTCTCATTAATCTCTTTACAGGTACTATTTCTTCACTTGTACATACTGTCTTCTGGCAAGATTTCACTATTCCAAGCCTAACAACCTGACTAGATATGTTGGATAATTACACTTCGGGTATAGTACAATACTGCCATCTCGGATTGACTTATCTCAGATAGTTTCTCTTTTCAACGATATCGGATAACTTGAACTTGGAAAATTTTTCAACAAATTTCACAAATGTTATGCGCATTCCACTTCCTGCCCCCTAATGTGAACCTGAGTACCACTTATGTTTACATTAACAACACATCACATGGTTGTTGTCGAAGTCTCTCTTAAACATTCTTGGCCGAGGTCATTATGTTTGGCTTACCCAAACAAAGCACCTAAGGCTTAACCTTAGTGCACCGAGAGTACTAAACTTCTCAGCTTTCCAAACTATCCAAGTCATTGCTAGTTTCATCATGTTTCATGCCAAAACATTGCAAACTTAGTTCAACTCTACCATTGCAGCAAATCTAAGTTATTCGTCATGTTTCATGTTAAAACATCGCAAACTTAGTTCAACTCTACCATCATGGCAAGTCTAAGTTATTCATCATGTTTCATATCGAAACATCGCAAACTTAGTTCAACTCTACCATCATGGCAAGTCTAACTTAGTTTAACTCTATCATATGCAAGTATAATTCAACTCTGCCATATAATAAGTCTAAGTTACTCATCATGTTTCAATCGGAAACATTGTCAACTTAGTTCAACTCTATCATAGGACAAGTATAATTCAACTCTACCATCTGATAAGTCTAAGTTACTCATCATGTTTCAATCGGAAATATCATCAACTTAGTTCAACTCTATCATATGAAAGTATAATTCAACTCTGGTATATATAATAAGTCTAAGTTACTCGTCATGTTTTAATCGGAAACATCGCAAACTTAGTTCAACTCTACCATCATGGTAAGTCTAAGTTATTTGTCATGTTTCATACCGAAACATCACAAACTTAGTTCAACTCTATCAAATGCAAGTATAATTCAACTCTGCCATATAATAAGTCTAAGTTACTCATCATGTTTCAATCAGAAACATCACAAACTTAGTTTAACTCTACCATATGGCAAGTGCAATTTAACTCTACCATATGACAAGTCTAGGTTATTCGTCATGTTTCAATCGGAAATATCACAAACTTAGTTCAACTCTACCATATGGCAAGTGTGGTTCAACTCTACCATATGACAAGTCTAAGTTATTCATCATGTTCACCATGGGAACATCGTCATAAGACTATTCAGTCTTATTGTACAATCATGGATTCCAACAACATTTCCACGCTTCTTTACATAGGCTTTGGCATCTTTTTGCATGTAGGGCCACCAGAATCCCTATGATATAGCTCTGTAGGCAAGGGATCTGCCCCTTGCATGGCTTCCACATACTCCTTCGTGAATGTTGTATAAAAGTCTTCAACCTGTGAAGGATGTACACATCGCAATAGAGGTCTAGCAAAAGTCCTTCTGTATAGATGGCCTTCTACCGACAGGCAAAACTTGGCCGACTTCAGTCTGATCTTGCGTGCTTCCTCTTTGTCTTCTGGGATCTAGGATCTACTCACTTAGATTGAGCTCTTCTCTTCTAGGACCTACTTATCTAGCCTGAGATCTTGTCTTTTGAAATCTGGGATTTGCTCACTTAGGCTGAGCTCTTGTCTTCTCAGACCTGATCATCTAGGCCGAGATGTTCTCTTCTAAGATCTGGGATCTGTTCATTTAGGCTGAACTCTTGTCTTTTCAGACCTAATCATCTAAGTCGAGATCTTGTCTTCTGGATCTGAGATCTGCTCACTTGGGCTGAGCTCTTGTCTTCTCGGACCTAATCATCTAGGCTGAGATCTTGTCTTCTGGGATCTAAGATCCGGGATTTACTCACTTAGGCTAAGCTCTTGTCTTCTCGGACCTACTCCTTTAGGTCGAGATCTTGTCTTCTAGGATCTGGGATCCAAGATCTGGAATCCAGGATCTGCTCACTTAGGTTGAGCTCTTGTCTTCTCGAACCTAATCATCTAGGCCGAGATCTTGTCTTTTAGGATCTAGGATCCTAGATCTGGAATCCGGGATCTGCTCACTTAGGTTGAGCTCTTGTCTTCTCGGACCTAATCATCTAAGCCGAGATCTTGTCTTCTAGGATCTGGGATCCGAGATCTGCTCACTTAGGCTGAGCTCTTGTCTTCTCAGACCTAATTATCTAGGTCGAGATCTTGTCTTCTAGGATCTGGGATCCGAGATCTGCTCACTTAGGCTGAGCTCTTATCTTTTCAGACCTAATTATCTAGGCTGAGATCTTGTCTTCTAGGATCTGGGACCCGGGATTTGCTTACTTAGGCTAAGCTCTTGTCTTCTCGGACCTACTCATTTAGGTTGAGATCTTTTCTTCTAGGATCTGGGATCTGAGATCTGGAATCTAGGATCTACTCACTTAGGTTGAGCTCTTGTCTTCTTGGACCTAATCATTTAGGCCGAGATCTTGTCTTCTAGGATTTAGGATCCGAGATCTAGAATTTGGGATCTGCTCACTTAGGTTGAGCTCTTGTCTTCTCAGACTTAATCATCTAGGCCGAGATCTTGTCTTCTAGGAAGTGGCATCTGAGATCTGAAATCTGGGATCTGCTCACTTAAGCTGAGCTCTTGTCTTCTCAGACCTACTCATCTAGGCTGAGATCTTGTCTTCTAGGATCTGGGATCCGGGATCTGGAATCCAGAATCTGCTCACTTAGGCTGAGCTCTTTTCTACTTGAAGTTCGTCTTCATCTTCTTGAGAGCGCTTATGCCTCCTTATCTTTGCATTCATCCCTTCTAGAAGGGCCTTCATTCTGTTAATGTTGACGCATTCTCCATCTTCGCTGAACTCATCCTTACCAAAATGTTGATCTTGCTCGATGATGGCCATCTGTTCTAACTAAGTTCCCACAGATGGCGCTAAATTGTTGGTGTTGATTTTTGACCACACAACCAAATGGGGAACTCAGCTGGAGAGCACCAGTAGAATAGATTGAGCCAATCACCTGCCAACAAGAATGTGAGAATACCGCGGTGGTTCGTCCACCCGGGGGCACTCCAACAATCAAGTCAGTAAACAAATATCTCTCAAAGATAACAAATAGTGCTTAACTCACTAGCTAGAGCATAAAAAGCATACCTTAGACCTACGAGGGTGCCATACTTTTATAATGATTAGTGTCCAACTTCCCCTAGAAGTCTTACTTCATGGGACTCTATCCTTTACAAGAATAACATCTATCACAACTCACACTATTTAGATTAAGATGAACTCCCTCAAGAGTCCCATCTCTATCCAAATAGGTAGCTTGATGTCATCTAGGACTCTAGCCCTCTATCCAAATATCTCGGATTCTGATATCCCTGCAAAATACCTCAGCAGTGCTCTAAACATCTCGGCAAACATGATCTGCCCACGGGGCACCTCGGCTGACACCTCAGCGTCACCTTAGCCACATGGTGTCATCCAAAAATATGTCCCCACAATGTGTATGGAAAATATTTGGATAGATTAGTTATATTTTTTTGATAGATGCACATGGATAAAAAAATTTTGATATATGTTTTAAATTTTTATGCTAGATGGCTATGAATTGGATGATTATATAGATTACATGACTTTTAATTGGACGATTATATAGTTTGGAATTGTTGGAACAATCTTCTGTGTAAAATAAATAAGTTGAAAAAATCAAACAAATAAAAATAAATTACTTACAGAATTTATTTTACCGAACTGAATAAATATTTAAAAGATCAAGTCGAGTGTGTAACACTCTGTCCTTAAGACAGATTCGCCCCACTTCGGTGCTTACGGATGAATGGCGTTTATCTCCCAGGATACAATGATCTTCACAAATTGTAATAGCACTCCAAACAATTTATACGACGAACCAAACCTGTGTTCTATACTTTTTGAATTTTATTCTAAAATAATATGATGAATAAATTATGCAAGAGAGAAAAACTGGAAGGAAAGTACTAAATTTCGAATTGGAAAACTGCTGGAATGGTCCAGGTATACATAGGGCTGAAAATGTGTGAATTCAAACTTCAACAGGTCTAAAGTTTGAATTGAACAAATGCGACCAGTGTTGAACAGATAACTGTTGGGCAGTTTGAATCTGTCTAGAAACTACTGGGCATTTTTCTATCTGTTAAAACAGTTTAAACCTGTCCGGCATTCAATGGATTGAAAAATTGTTTGGACTGATTAATCTATTGTGGAATTCGGATCTGAAAAGAGGCATAATTTTTGGACAAAACATTTGATTTCAAATTTGAATTAAATTTCATTTTGAAATTCAAATAATTTCCTCCAAGAATTTGAAAAAATTCAAATAAATTTTGTCTAAAAAATTAATGTTAGAACCGACCCGATCCACAACCCACACCCACGCCTGATCGGACGGACGAACGGCGGCGGCGTGTGTGCGTGTGTGGTGGTTTGAGCCAAGGTTCACTTTGTCCATAGCTCTTCCATTCTACAAACTTGGGGTGCCCTTGGGGCCTAACCCAAGTGTTGCCACTTTGAACTTATATACACACATAAGTTCTCTTAAGTTTCCAATGTGGGACAAGCCTTATAAAGAAACCCACATTTAATTCTTGAATTGTCCATTCCACGAATCCGAAAACGACGTCAACTTCCCATTCGCTCATAAATGGTTTTGACGAACCGTCTTCATCATGTGACTTACCACATGGCAAGGAACACGTCACCTCTTTGGATCCACCCCAAAAAACGTTTGGGACCGACTCAAATTTGGGCTCAAAGTTGGCCCAAAATAAGCCTATAAAAACCAAATTTTCCAACAATCCCCCACATAAATGGAATTTGACGGAGAGAAAATGCAACAACTTAATCTAATTACAGAGAGTACAGAAACTAGAAATATTCAGCAAAGGATAAGTAGCTTTTGGCTTTGAACCTTCCCTTGTGAGACACTATCGAATTTACTAGCTAACCAGTGA